GGGCCGCTGCCGGAGTCTCCCCCGCCACCCCCGGGCTGCGGGACCCCGCTCCTGCCCTGGCCACCTTTCGGTGACCACCGCAGCTGGGACCCTGGGGAGCACAGGGGAGTGAGGGTTTAGGCCTTTGGAGGGCCTTGGGCCTCTGATCCTCTTAGCTGGCTGACTTGTGTTGGGAAAAACCTCTTTCCTCCCCTTCTGGGTCAGGGGACCGGTAGCGAAGGGCCGGAGGACCGCTCGGACTCATCCACACTGGAGGGCGGGGTGGACGTAGAAATGCCGGCGGGAAGCCACGTGGGGCCTCCTTGCCTTGACCTGGAGCCCGGATCCGCTCTCCTCTCTCTCCTCGGCCTCGGGGTGATGGCCCGTTGGGTTCCTCTCACCTTTCCCAAATATACCGCCCTCCTGCCTTCCCCCCACCATGATGTAATTTTATTTTCTGGGGAGGAAGAGAGCAGAAGTGAGCTCAGCATGCAAATATAGACGTCTTGCAAAGCCACACTTAGCTGTCTCCTCGCTCTGCCTCTCTGCCCAGGCCTGGCATGGCAGCTCTCACTTCCTCTCCACCCCAGGGACTTTCCTCCCCCAGATTCTCAGCCAGACTGAAAGAGGGAAGGAAGAAGTGGGGAAGCGTCTGTCTGCACCCCGGCTCCCGCCTGAGGGCCCTTGCCTCCCCTGTGGCAGAGTCGGGCCCTGGGAAGAGGTCCGAGCCGCATCCGGTGGCACGCCAGGAAGGCCCTGGCCTCCCCTCAGTGCTGGCCGGGCAGACACCCCGTCACGAAGCCTCAGGTGAGCCCCTCCTTTCTTGGTCTACACTGCGCCCAAAGAGGCTCAGACTCCTGCCGCTTCCCCTTCTCTTCAGCAACCTCTCCTGTGACCCCTTCTGAGAGCAAAACCACCTCATCCTCTGCCATGTGTCTGTCTCGTTTGCTCTGTGTCGTGGGACCAAAAGCCATGTCACCGGCCCATCTGCAAGACTCAGAGAAACGGAATGACTTCTGTACGGTGACAGGCGCCCGTCTTCCCGCCGCGGGTGCAGGGGCTTCACGCTGGCTCCGCCCCTTTCTCGGGCAGGTCAAAGCCTCTGACTCTCAGGGGCCCTGCGGCTGAGATGGGGATGCTGCTGCCCACCCAACAGGGCTCTCCGGAGACTTGGAAATCCTAAGTGTCTAAGGACTGGCTTGGGTGGGCGCTGGAAACGTAGGGGCGACTGTTTAGTCTGGGGCCTTCCGCTGACCCATGCTAGACTGTCAGCCCCGCCCCCCCCGTTAGCACTGTGTGAGCCCAGGGCCCACCCACGTATCAGACCAAGTACCGACTGGTCACACGTTGGTTTCTGCTCTACGCTCTTCTGCCTCCTCCAGGAGCACTTCCTTGGTTTGTCTCTGGAGGGTGACGAATGTCACCTCAGGCCTCCTTCTGCAGCTAGCAGTCCCCTTCTCTCTCAGCAGCACCTTCATACCTGACCCATGACAACCGTCCCCTCTGAGTTCCGGGTGCGGTCAGTTCCTTGGCTTCCCCACACGACGACGTCCGACACCCTGGCCCGAACACCGGCCTGGGCTGTGCTGGGGAGAGTGCAGGCCCTTCCTGCCAGGAACCTGGGCAGCCCAGGTCCGGGCTCAGGGTGGGGGGCGCTGGTATACAAAACTCTGTGTCTTCTCTCCATCCCAAGGCCACCGCTCAGGCTGTCCCAACTTCTCATGGGCTCTGACAGTGAGAGTCGCCCCTCCCCCCCCCACATACACCTGCTGTCTCCATCCTCCCCGCCCTCTGCCCATCCCGCTCATCACTGCCCTTCCTCCCAGCCCCAGGATTAAATTCAAACTCCTCTACACCCTGTGATGCCCCTCCATCCTCATGGCCGCCACTTGGGGGTCTCTTCTTGTCCCTCTCCTCTCTTCAGCACCCCCAATATGACACCCACATTCCACCTGTGCTTTTGATGCTCTCCACTGACTGAAACATCCCTTCCCTGTCCCCTTTGGCCCGTCAAACCCCGTTCTTCACTGAAGGCCTAGAAAGTGCTCGCTTCTTGAAGCCACCAGAGCGCATGTGGCCTCTCTCTCCTGACCCTTTCTGTTCGTTTGTTCCTTCTGTTAACAGGCATTTGTTAGGGGCCACGTTTTGTGCACCAGGCCCTGGGGGCACAGAGGAGAAGCCTGGGCTCCTGCCTTCAAGGGGCCTGCAGTCCCTTGGGGAAGATGGACGTGTAGCTACAGGTGGAGGGTAGCCGAGAAGTACTGGATTGGAGGCGGAGAGGGTGCAGTGTGACCCCAGAGGAGGGAACCGCCGTGGGCCACCTCTGGGAAGGCCTCACCAAGAAAGAGATATTTGGGTTCAGTCCTGATGGTTCAAAGAACAGCTGCAGGGAGGGTGCTATCAAGCAGCACATAATCACTTAATTGCGTATTGCTTTGTGTTCGGCTTCAATTGTTTAGTTGCTTGTCTTGACTTCCCAGTGAGGCTAATCAGCACTCCCGGTTCTCCCAGAACCTACCAGTGGGGCCGGACAAACACCACGTGTGCGGGGAGAGCTTATGGACTGACAGCAGATAAATAGTTCACTCTTCTCTGGGGTAACTGCCTGGAGGGAGCCCCCCCATCACAGCGCCCTAACAAGGCCCCCCCAGCCCCCATCCTCGGGCTGCCTCCCCCGCTGCCGTGGGGGGTGAGACCTCGGCAGCAGACACTTGCTTGTGCTGCCCCAGATCCTTTATTGAGCCCTCTTGGTATTTGACCCAAATACATTAACAAGAGATTGCAGAGAGAGAGAGCGCGCCCCAGACGCAGGGCCCACCCTTCCTCCTGGCCAGGGATCGGGGCCGCCAGAAGGATGTAGGATTTGAGAGTATGGGGAACTGTGTGTGTCGGTGGAGGGAACAGAGGAGAAAAGAACCACGGGCAGTGGAGGAAACAAATCGTAGGAACAGGGCCGCCGGGGGACAGGACACAGCCGGCTGAGGCGGCTGGGCTGGCGTGTGGGGACGAGTGGGTCTCAGCACTCAGCATATGGCCTCCCTATGGTGGAGGATGACCCAGTGTTCCCGGAGGAGCCCAGGGAGGGACGGGGGACGGGAGGGAGCATGTGGAGAGCGGGCGGGCTGGGAGGCGGCGGCCGCAGTGACTAGTCATCGTCCTCGTCCTCTTCCTCATCATCGTCCTCCGTGTTGATCTCGCCCTCCAGCACATCCTCCAGCCAGTCCTCCAGCTCCTCTGCGGAAGGCAGGTCCTCCTCGTCGTCCATCTCCATCCACACGCTGTCCGCCTGGGGTGAAGCACACACGGGGACCGGAGCTTAGCCCGACTCAGGTCTTCAGACCTGTCCTCCCGCTCGCGGGGCTCCCTCTGTCCTTCCCTCTGTCCTCCTTCCCTTCCCTTCACCTGTCATGGGCCAGGGACGCTGTCCAGGGGAGGGTCTAGGTGGGAGCCGTGATGGGGGAACAGGGATGGCTGGGTTGGCCTTTGATGGGAAACCGCCGGTGGCCAGAGTCAAGCCAGCCACCCTTCAGCTTCTCATAACCTGCTTTTCCAGCACCGACCGCAGAAGCCTCTAGTCTCGCAAGCATAAAAAACGACTTGCCTTTTCCAGAACCTGATACTCATTTTCCTACTTTTGACCTTCCGCACTAACTTTTCCAGCGGTCTGGAAACGGCTCGTCATCAACTGCGCGCGTCCGGACTGCTCCAGGCCGTGCGGTCCCCACTTTCAGTGCCACTCCCTTGAAACCCTTCTCTCTGATTCTCTTCAGCAGAAGTTGCTTTGATTTCTGTGGCTTCCTAGCATTTTATGGGTCTCTTTATGATCGAGTTTATAAGATCTGGCAGTTTCGTTAACAGAATATCTGCGTCCCCAGCCGCACTGAGAACAGTATGAACGCAAAGACTATGGCTTATTCCCTTCACCGGCACAGACGTGGCCGAAGCACCTGCGTGTGTGAGTGCGATTTCTGCCCTCAAAGAGCTGAGTCTGCCAGAGAGGCAAGCACGATGCAGAGCTAGCCGAGCTGAAGTCCCGTTCGCAGCGCCAAATGGGCTCTGGGGGCGCCGAGGAGGGGGCCTGACTCCACATGGGAGATCTGGAGAGGATGCGGACCGGGCCTTGAGGGATGAGGAGCCAGCTGCGGTGTGTGTGCTCTGGGCCGAGCCTCTCCCTCTGCCCAGGCCTGAGACTGGGCGCGTCTGACCCTGGGGTGGGGGGCGGGGGGGCGGGCAGCCGAGCAGGGAGAGCTGGTGGGGCTGGGAAGCAGAGCTGGGGCCAGCGGGGCGTGCGGGAAGGAAACTCACATCGGTAACGTTGACCACTCCTATTTGCGGGGCTGTCAGGTCGATGTCAAACGTCTTCTCCCAGTATGGCACCAGCTGCAGAGAAACCACGCACGGTAACGTAACAGCGTCTAGGAACGCGTGTGTCCAGGAGGGGGAGTGTAGAGGGTCAGCCCAGGGGCAGAGGAAGGTCACTGTGAACCCACGATGGGGGCCCGGAGGGAAGGGGTAGAGGTAAGCAGTTGCAGGTAAAAATCCCAAAATGAAAGTATTGGGATGGTCAGCTGAAGACACTGGCCCTTCTTTCCCCAGGAAAACACGGGTAGGAACCCGTGTTCTGATCCTAGCTCTGCTACTGCGTGACCTGTGACTTTGGGCAGGTCACTTCTCAGTGACCCTCAGCTTCTGCACCTGTAAACTAAGGTCGTCGTCCCTGGTCATTGTCAGTGTTCCTCACGTATCTCCTCATTCTGTTGCTCTTTCAACAACGAGCGTGAGGTGTTGGGGATCCAGCTGGGAACGAAACTGTCCTCTGAGGCATGGCCTCTCCGTGCTCTCAGTCTATGATTGTGTAGACCCACCTGCAGGGCTCATGTGCCCACCTGCCCTCCCCCCCACTCTGTTTTTTTGTAGACGGAGTCAGCCCTGGGAACATGAACTCCCTGCCGCGTCTCTGCTCTGGGCATTGTGTGTGTTGTGTTCCATGCGATTTACTTCCCATTCTGTGCCCCCTTCTCAGGGTGCCCTCTGTGCCCACGGGGCCCTTGAACACCAGACGTAACCTCCCAAGGTCCTCGGGCCGGGAGTTGGGGCAGGAACTCTGAAAGAAGCTCCTCTCAGAAAGGGCCACCGCGTCAGGCCCTGCCTTTGGAGAGCCCTGCCTCTCACCAGGGGGAAGTCGTCAGGGTCGATCCAGATGATGCTGAGATCAGGGTTTTCTGTGTTATCTTGGGCCACGGACTTGAGTATCTCCAAGAACTCATAGCCGTCTTGGAGGGAACACGAGTAAGAAGTGTTAGGTGGGACAGGGAAGAAAGGGACGCAGCCACAGCAGGAGTCCTGGGCGCTCCCCACCTCCCACCGTCGCTGGTGTCTCACCCCTGGGTCACTGCACTCCCAGGAACGCCTCCCACTGAAGCCTGCACAAGCACCCCTGTCTCCCCGTCACCGGCACCCCCCACCCAAACCTGCATCCCTCCCTCACCAGGATCAGCTTCCTCCGCGAAGGCCACGATGTGAATTCCATCCATGTCGTCCTCCTGTTGGGGGCAGCGGGGCTTAGCTATGCTTCCTGAAGTTAGGGAGCCACACACACCCTACATCTTCCCGGAATTTCGTGGAACTCCAGCTTCCGGATCAGGTACGTTCTTGTGGCGGCAGCCCTTTCCCAGGTGACACGGATGGCTCGGTTTCCCCTCCAGGGACCCCGCACCTCCTCTAGCAAACTCTTTAGCCCCAGATCTCCCTCCCTGTCATCTTTGTCAGTGTCTGTGTGTCTCCTAATTCCTGTAGTTCTTCAGAGCTACAGCCTCCAAACTTTGCTGGTGCATGGTCTTTCCTACGGGCCAGGCACGGAGCGCAGCAGGGCGGGAAGTTTCCAGGACTTGCGTCTTTAGCCACCCATGCCCTGCCCCGGGGACCCGGCCCTGTCCGGGGGTGGGGGGACACTCACCCACGTCTCATACATACTCTCAGGCTTCAGCTTCCTCAGGGTGGACCTAGAAGAGACAGTCAGGACTCAGCGGGCGAGAAGGATGCACCTCCAGAGAGCTCTGGGTCAAGCCTAGGGCACAGACAGCTTGTAGGCCAGAGAAAAGCCATCTGGCAAAGTCTAAGCTCTGGGCTCCAGGCCCAGGTCACCGCCTGGTTAAAGCAGGTGGGAAGGCAGCGGGTGGGCCCGTGGCCTGGAAGAGAGTCTTTGGGAGAAGGGTAAGAACGCGATATCTGGGCATCCCCTCATTCATTCAGTACAGCTGAGTCTGAGAAGTTCTAGGCACTGGGCGAGGCGCCGTGTGGGGGCATTGTTGAGCGAAGCTGACTGGCCCTCCCCGACAAAGGGGGCCATGATCTAGCGGGAGAGGGCGAGGTTGGTGGCGTCTCCATGGACACCAGGGGACGCTCCCAGCTGTGGAGTGCCACGGAGGAGGAGAATCGTGTGTGAGTGCGGGCAGGGTCTCTCCACCTCTGGCTGGAGAATTCTCGGTTGTGGGGGGCCATCCTGTGTGCCCTGTAGGAGGTTAGCAGCGTCCCTGCTTCTCCGCCCACCGCCCCTCCCGCCAAACACTGGTAGCTCTCTCCTCAACCAAAAATGCCGGTCAGGATCCCGTTCTGACACTTCCTACTGGTGGGACCTCAGTACTTGAGCTTGTTGAAAGGATTAAAAACAGTAGTAGAGATGGAAGCACCTGGCAGAACCTGGTCTGTGTGCGAGTGAGCAGTCATACCCAGAAGGGCCTTCACCTGCCAGCCAGACCAGCTTCCTGGCGGGCTGGGATCCCCCGGCCCCTCTTGAGCATGGGGCGCATGGGCGTTCTGGCCCGAGGAGGCACCCCCCGGCTCAGGCTGGCCCCCGCTGCCCACCTCCTGTGCTCCTCCACGAAGCTGACAATCTCCTCTTCACTGTTGGGCTTGTCTGGGATGGTCACAGGCTCTTCCGTGAAGGCCTCATAGAAATCGATCTCATTCAGCTTCAGGGTCAGCTTCTTTGCCACCTTTGGGGGAGGGGGCAGGGGGAGGGGAGCGGGGGATGCGGGTCATGGGGAGAGGCCGTATCACCACGAGCAGGTCTTAGGAAGGAAGCCAGACAGCCTGGGCCCTTGTCACTGCCCCTGTGACAGTGGACAAGTGCCTTGATGTCTCTGGGCTTTGGTTGAACCTGAGAGGGGTGGGTTAAAGGATCTAAAATCTTTGGGGCAAGAGAGAGAGGCCTGAGGTGGGGTGGGGGGTGTCGTGTGAGGCACGGGACCAGGTCGCGCATCAATTCTGGGAGAGAGGTCTGGAGGGCAGCTGCAGGGAGCTAGGGGGACCCCATATGGCCACAGGGCGGAGAACCTTGCTGTCGAAGGTGGCGAAGAAGGGGATGTAGGGGTGAAACTCCTCTGCCGCATCCTCGAAGGCCTTGTAATCTGAGGGAGTAATGCAGAGTCAGTCTCTGGGAGAGCCAGGGTCTGCCGGAGAGCCAGGGTCTGCCGGGGAGCCATGGCCTCTCTGTCTCTCCCCGAGTCTCCTTTAGCCAGAGGGGTTCCTTCTGAGACCCACCCCCTAGTCCTCTGAGAGCAGCAAAACTTTAGTGGAGGAAGTTGGGTGCTGGGGGTCCCTGTCTGGGAGCCCCAAGTGCAGGGAGGTCAGAGTAGCGAGAGAGTTGACCATGCCAGGGGGTCGGTTGTAGAGATACGGAGACAGTGGGTGGAGTGGGGGTTAGGGAGACGGGTAAAACGGGGGTCCAAGGAGGGACAGGGGCATCTGGGGGTTACCCACGCTCTGAATCTTTGCTCTTGAAGTAGCCAATGAGTTTGATCTCATCCTCGATGTTCTCAAATGCCTGCAGTTCGCGTTCGCCTTCAATCAATTCCACAGGGTCCTCTAGGACCTGGAGGAGAGTGTGTTCTCGCCTCACTCGAAGGAGCAGGGGGAGGGATGAGGGCGGCAGGGCTGGGAGGAGGGGCGGGAGGGGCTGTCTGTTGCCTGTGTGCACGTGTGTGTGTGCGCACGCGTGCAAGGCTGGACTTGGTTGGGGATGGGTGTGAAGTCTTAAAGCAAGGCCATTAGGTCCAGGAGAATCCTCACATCCAGTAGAAACTCCACCAGGGTGTCCGCAGAAAGCTCGCCGTCATACTCAATGACTTCATCTCCCTTGAACACGTAGATGCTGTCCTCTTCCGTGAGGCCTAGGGAGCGAGCCGGAGGTGAGCCCGGAGGCCAGACCGCCCACAGGTCCAGGGCCCGTCCCAGTGCCCCTGGACCCCACGCCCTCACCTCTCCTTCGCCCCTACCCCACCCACCTCCCTTCAGGCCCCTACAGCCCTGGGCGCTGCGCCTGTGGGTCTAGCCCAGGCAGCCCGCCGGGCCCCGGGGCTCTCCAGGAGAAGGCGGGCTCAGTGGGGCTGTCGGGGGGACATAGGGAGACATAGACTCTAGCAAGATGTCTCCCTTTCTCTGCTCGCCATAACGAGAGACAGATCCTCCTTTCCCTGCTCCGAGGACTCCAGCCGCTCACTCCCGGTCCAGCCCTGTAACCTGCTGCTATTACTGACCAGATGACTTCATTAGTGACCGCCCTCCCCAGCCACATCCGGAGTCCGGTTCAGGCCTGTGGTGCTCCCTGGTGGCTGGGGCCGTAACCCTGGCCCCCCCAGCTCCCCCAGGCTCTGGCCGGAGAGGCCTCTCCTGCCCTGCCGGTGTTCCCTGACTGCCCCGTTCCTCCAGCGCCTAGCCCTGGTTTGTACGTAAGTATGAAGAGGGCCACCCCCACCTCTTTCTAGGATTGGAGCCTGGGTGGGTCTCTCTAAGGAGTGAAGGAGATGCCGGAATCCCTGCCATACCCGTCCCCAGGTCAGTCTTTTCTCCCCGCTGCCACATTAGGCCCGGTGGGGCCCCTGCCCTGTACAAGGGCTACCCTCCAAATCCTGGCCTGGGCCTCCCCCATCCCAGAAGCCCCCACACCTGGGCCTCCCCGGGCCCACACTACTACGTGCCCCTTCCCCACCCCTCCCTTACCTAGTTTCTTGGCTACAGCTGCGTCCTTCTCAGAGTCCACCAGCCCGAAGCCAACACCCTTGTCTTCGAGGACTTGGGCCGCTAACTGGAGGGAGCATAAGGTTAAAATCAGCTCTGGGATTTTTAGTCACCCCGTGCCCATCTCACGCTTCCCAGGAGGGTCATTTGGGATGTGGGGAAGATAAGAGTTGCCCTGGGCACCGCGCAAGGCTCCAGGTAGCTCCATTTCCCTGCAAGCCCACCCTTCTGGGCTGTAGTTTGGTTTCAGCCCCTGGACACGTATTACTCGTGCACAGCGTGCTTCTGATGTTGCTCCGAAGGCCGGCACGGGATACTTCCCGGTTCCCGAGGGGTGCTGGGGAGTCTGGCTTCAGAGTGACTGAGGCCCTTTCTGCTTCGGGGCTGAGCCCTGCTCGCCATCGTCATTAAAGGCCATGCTCAGTGTGGGGTGGCATTAGAAGTCCCTGGGGTTCTTCTGAGTGACCCCCACTGGGGAGCATTTTGGAGGGCAGGAGGGTGTGTGTGTGGGGGGCCTGGTTATGTCACCAAGGAGTGGCAGAAGCCAGAGAGCTGAGGGTTGAGGTCACTGGGGCCACCACTTGTCACCTTCAGAGACAGAGACTCCAGCAGGCACGAGAGGAGACCCAGGCGGGGCTCTCCTCACCGAGGCCAGACTTCCCCTGTGTCCCCCAGCCCTTCCTTTCTCAGGCTGTGGACAGTCACTCCTGCAGGTCCCTGCCCCCTTCAGCCTCCCGGCTGGACTCCGCCCTGGTGCCCTCTGCCGCGGGCTTGCAGCCTCACCCTGCCTAACACACACAGGCGCCCGGATTCTCAGGAGAACGGGGAGGCTGCTGGCAGGTGGATGGGCCGAGATGCTGAGCACTCAGGATAAAAATACTCAGTGCATTAATAGATGGCAGGTTCCGGCAGCCACAGGGGCCCACAGAAACGGGAGCCTCTGGTCCTTCCTGTAGGCAGGCTGGGGCCTCGCTGTCCTGCCGGGCTGGAGAACGGGCTGCACAAGCTTGGGCCGGAACACGAACGCGTCTGGCTAGAGAGCGCGTGGGACCGCATCTCCCAGTCACCCCCAAACACAGGGCCTTTCTCTTGTTGTAAGTCGGCTTGGAGGCGAGGAGAACCTTCCCACAGAGAGAAGCTGGGGAAGGCATTCTGAGGCCTCCTCCAATTGCAAGAATTTTCCAATCAGGGCATCTGGCCTGACCCAGTAGGGGCAGATGGAGAATTAGGGAGAGAGGGACTGAGGCTGGAGGGCGCCACGGTGGTCTCTGTTAAACTTTCGGTGGGAGAAACATACCATGCGAATAAGATGTCGGTAGCCTTTAAAATGCATACCCTTTGGTTCAACTTGGGGTGCAGGCCTGCTGTGTGTGGAGAGAGGGGGCATGTTCTGGCCAGGAGAGTAGATGGGGGGCGTCGTGCAGGTCCGGCCCACTCCTCTGACCGAAGTACAGCCCTTCTCCTTTTTGTGCTCCTCTTCCAGGGACACCTCAGTCCCGGCCATGGAGGAGGGGTCTCCCTGCAGCCCCTCCCTCCTAAACGTGCCTACCCGTGGTGGGACTTTGGGGTCCCAAGTCACCTTCCTGTGGGCCTGAGGCCGCACGCCGCGAGGCCCCGAGTCCCCCTCCAAGTCTGCATGCGGCTGTGGGCTAGGGGTGGCCGGGAGAGGCCACTGTGCTCTGTGGGCCGGTGGACCCCAGACTCACCTCCAGGATCAGCTCTTCCATCTCAAACTGTCTTTGTGAGGCCTTGTCATCCTCGGGGGGCTCGTGGTAGAGCAGTGCCAGAACCTCATACTTCTTGAACACATGCTTGTAGTTCTTGGCGTTGACATTGACCACACGGTCCACACCGTCATACTGAGGGAATTCCAGCCCGTCCTCCCCCTGCACCCCCAACCTGGGTGTCCCTAGCACCAGCAGGAAGAACAGTGCCGGCCGCAGCCCGGGCCCCGCGCTGGCCCCCATCCTGTCGGCGGTGCGTGCGGTGCAGGGAACGGGGTCAGGCTCGGCTCTCAGGTCCCTGAGGGTAGCTGGGGTCGGGCGGGGCCCTGGGTCCTGAACCCTGAGTGAGGGGCTCACAGGGGGGTGGGGTGGGGAATGGCCCGGAGCAGTGGACAGAGGACACTGCTGGGTCCCGGACAAACTGCCGACAGAGCCAAGAGTGAAAGGGTCAGGAGGAGGGATAGGAGCAGGGGGTGGGGAGGGAACCGGAGCTGTCCCTGAAATTGGCACCGCGGGGCCCCCACCTGGCTCCACCTAAATATGTGTCTGGGGTTGGCAGGAGAGAGGATAACCTTCTGAGGCCAGGACAGCTCCAGAGGGCCGAGACCCTCCCTCCTCCTCCCCCTCGCCCCCTGGCTCCGGGAGCCCCTCCCCCGCTGCCTTCCCCTACGAAGGCCAGGGTTCCTCAGCACAGTCCCCACGCTGGCCCGGAAAGCTCATCGCCATATTAAGAAAGGAAAAAGCCTGAGCTAAAAATAAGACCAGATGAGTCGGAGGTAAATGAGCTGGGTTGGGGGAGGGGAGGCATGGGGTCGTTAGGGAGAGTCCAGGGAGGGCAAGGGTACTCAGACCCAGGGAAATGGTGGTGGAGAGGAGGCATTCTGGGTCAGAGATTCAATTCCTACGACAGGACAGAGGGGTACAAATGCCTAAAACCTGGACTGTCCTCTGGATGTGGCCTGTTTCCTCCATCCAGCGGAGGAGAAGGTGGTAAAAAGCACCCGGGCTGCAGGAAGAGACCCCCTGCACTTCCCTTTCAAGAACAAGGACCAAGGATGATGTCATTCTCAGAATAAAAGATGGAGCCTCAGCCAGGACGGGCGACCTGGCTCAGCCCCAGCCACTTTCCTGTGCTTCACTCAACACCCTAAGTCGGGAGCAGGGGAAGGACGGGGCGTGGGGCAAGAAGCGCTGGCCCACATCCACGCTGCAGAAATGTGATTTGGGGTTTCTCTCCACGGGAAGGGGAAAGTCCTGCAGCTTCTGCCTCCTGCTTGTGCTCGGTACTCGGATCAGAGGGGACTCGGTTCTCTAGGGCACAGTGGGGAGGGAGGGTCCCCCAGGCTGGATGACTGTAAGGAAGGAGAGTTGCCGCAGTGCATTCTGACCAAGAGGATCAGGTATAAAGGCCAGGGGAGAAGTTAACTCAGGGAAAACCTGAAGAGGTGGGCCCTGCACCAGAGCTGAGGATGTTGATTGGTTCTGCGCACTTGAGAGCCCAGGTGGAGTGGGGGGGG